GCAGTAAAATAATCCTCCAACTGTGAGCGCTAAATAAAAATACTGCGGGGTTAGAACTTTTAAAGAACTATCAATATTTTTATTCAGAATACATATCTCTATTACTCAAAGCAAAGATCTTTTACATTTCCTGATCCTGAAGCAAAATGTTTTTTTCTGCCAACATTATTTGGTGTCAGCTACTGGCCTATCACAATTTTTATCCGATTATGATGGTTGAGTTCGAATTTCATGAAAATTGGACAGCAACTGCCAGACAAAATGGCCACTCCCTGAACACAAATAAGGTAAAAGTATGTAATATCAAGGTTGTGGACCATCTATAGGTCACGATTTTTAACCAATTTTGATGAAACTTAAAACGTGTTAATATTCTGAAGATCTCGGTTCCTTTCGATATTTGCACATAGCGGACCGTAACTTCCTGGATTATGGCCCCTGACTGTATGAAATTTTAGCTTGTTGACCCTCTAGAGGCAGTGCCGGACTGGTGGCCCGTCGGCCCACCTGTCAGGTCATTAACCAAGGCCCACACAAGTACGCGTGGTGCGGAAACGTCTGGGGGGGGGGGTGTTCTCCCCCCAGGAAAATTTTGAAAATTGACAACCGCAAAACCCATTTTCCAAGCATTTCAGACCAAAGCAGAAGAAGGCAAATTTTTGATTTCCTGATACAAGATAACAGAATGACCTAAGAGCACTATCATTATATGAATTTGAAAATTCTCTTGAGTGTCAAAAACAAAAAACCTTTTAATCCCCGTGATGAAAATAATGCAAATTATAATATACATACAGTACACGTATTTGACAGTTATGTTCACGCACATCACAGACTATAGCGAGAATCTTCGAACTCACAGAAGTAAACGAATATCATCATAAGCTCCTGAACCTCACGAGCTTATGATATTTGTTTATTTCTGTGATGATAACTCATAATTAATTGTTCTCTAAAGAAGGGTGGGCCCAGTCCGGCACTGAAGAGGTCACAATTTTTATCCGATATTACAAATTGTTTAAATATATCATCATTACACCCTGATGATGATTGTGTTCAAATTTCATAAAAAAATCGGACTGTAACTGCCCATCAAAATGGTCACTCCTTGAACAGATTGTGTAAAAGTATGTAATAATACCAAAGTTGTGGACCTGCTAGAGGTCACAATTTTTGTCCGATTTTGATGAAACTTAAAATATATGTTTTCTCAAAGATCTCAGTTCCTTTGGATATTTGCAAATATCACAGCTTAAATTCCTGGATTATGACCCCTGATTGTACGCAAAATCACATTTATAGCTCGTGGACACAATTTTTATACACCCGACAAAATGGCCGCTCCTTGTACGCAAATTGTAATACGAAGTTTTTGACCCTCTAGAGGTCACAATGTTTGTCCGATTTTGATGAAACTTAAAATGTATCTTTATATCCCAAAGATCTCAATCCCTTTCGATATTTGTGCATTTAAGCACATAACTTCTTGGATTATGGCCCCTGATTGTAGCGAAAATTACGTTTTTTCTTTTTTTTTTTTTATACTCCCACATTGAAATGTGGTCTTATGTTGTCGTCATTCTCGTCTGTCGGTCCGGCGTCCACAATTGCTTGTGGACGGTCTAGAGGCTAAATTTAATATCCGATTGACTTTAAATTTATACACAGTATTTAAGGTCTTGAGATGAAGAAAACAATTGATATTCAGCGATTTCCGACAATTACTGCCAGAGTTAATCACTTTGAAAAATCTTGTGGACGCTCTAGAGGCCAAAGTTAATATCCGATTGATCTTAGATTTGTACACAGTGTTTAAGGTAATTAGACAAAGAATCCTATTGATTTTCAGCGATTTCCGATAATTACTGCCAGAGTTATTGCCCTTGACCACTTCAAAAAATCTTGTGGACTCGCTAGAGGCCAAAGTTAATATCCGATTGACCTTAAATTTATACACAGTGTTTAAGATCATGAGACAAAGAATCCTGTTGATTTGCAGCGATTTCCGATAATTACTGCCAGAGTTATGGCCCTTGATCACTTCAAAAAATCTTATCTCCCTAGAGGCCAAAGTTAATATCCGATTGACTTTAAATTTATACACAATGTTTAAGATCATGAGACGAAGAAGCCTAGTTATTATCAGCTATTTCCGATAATTACTGCCAGCCAGAGTTATGGCCATTGATCACTTTAAAAAATCTTGTGGACGCTCTAGAGGCCAAAGTTAATATCCGATTGATCTTAGATTTGTACACAGTGTTTAAGGTAATTAGACAGAGAATCCTATTGATTTTCAGCGATTTCCGATAATTACTGCCAGAGTTATTGCCCTTGACCACTTCAAAAAATCTTGTGGACTCGCTAGAGGCCAAAGTTAATATCCGATTGACCTTAAATTTATACACAGTGTTTAAGATCATGAGACAAAGAATCCTGTTGATTTGCAGTGATTTCCGATAATTACTGCCAGAGTTATGGCCCTTGATCACTTCAAAAAATCTTATCTCCCTAGAGGCCAAAGTTAATATCCGATTGACTTTAAATTTATACACAATGTTTAAGATCATGAGACGAAGAAGCCTAGTGATTATCAGCTATTTCCGATAATTACTGCCAGCCAGAGTTATGGCCATTGATCACTTTAAAAAATCTTGTGGACGCTCTAGAGGCCAAAGTTAATATCCGATTGACTTTAAATTTATACACAGTGTTTAAGGTCATGGGACGAAGAAGCCTATTGATTTTCAGCGATTTCCGATAATTACTGCCAGAGTTAAGGCCCTTGATCACTTTGAAAAATCTTGTGGACGCTCTAGAGGCCAAAGTTAATATCCGATTGACTTTAAATTTATACACAGTGTTTAAGGTCATGCGACGAAGAAGCCTATTGATTTTCAACAATTTCCGATAATTACTGTCAGAGTTGTGGCCCTTGATCACTTCAAAAAATCTTGTGGACACTCTAAGAGGCCAAAGTTAATATCAGATTGACTTTAAATTTATACACAATGTTTAAGGTCATGAGATGAAGAAGCCTATTGTTTTTCACCGATTTCCGATAATTACTGCCAGAGTTATGGCCCTTGATCACTTTTTGACACTCTAAAGGCTAAAGTTATCATCCGATTGACTTCAGATTGATACACAAAGTTTAACATTTTGAAACGAACAAGTATATTGATTTTCAATGAATTTTTATGACTTGGACAGCTAAGGCCAGACATTTTTAATTTCATGGTTTACAGATTTTTTGGCAGCACTTTAGGTTGGGTAGGTCAAAATAAAAATAAATTAAAACATTAGATTTTTTTTTCAGCACAGGGTTATCATATTGGTTGGGTAGGTCGGTTAAAAAAAACAAAAAAAACCCCACAAAATATTAGAAGTTTACTTTAACAGGTTTATTGTTAACAAAACAAAATAAGAGTCTGACAATATATTATGTATCACTGTTAACCAGTATAAGGTGTCACAAACTAGCCATTTTAATTGACTTAATAAGTAATTTAAATCTTTAATATTAGAGGCATTAAGTGTTGACAGATTATAAAAATAGTTTCTACTGTAGCCACAACAATTAATGAAAGATTTTAATGTCCTGAGTCTCTGTGAAAAACAGAGTTCTTCGAGAAGCTTTAGAAATTCAAAAACATAAGCCAAAATTAAACAGACTTGGGACATTATCTTCCAAATCTTTGGGTGGATTTACTACTACTAGACAATCAGTGAACACTAATAATTTTAATCAGTGAATGGTTTTCTTTCTTTTTAAGTGTTAATTGTTATTAATTAAGTGTAGATTGTGGTTTAGGGTTTCCAATCATTGTTTATTTAGTTATTCTATTATAGGCCTATATTGTACCGTATATTTTGTTATAAATCATTTAGCTTGACAACGATACCTGTATGTGTATCGAAACGTAGCTTGTTAATAAATTCAGAAGTAGTATATCCATATAAGTGCGTATCGTGTCCGATGAATTTATTTTCACAAATTATCTTTGATTAATTCCTGTTTCTTGCCCCACGTGGAGGCACAGATAGTTAGATGTAGGGTACCGGAATCTGCCGAGGATGCCGAGTGGCCATTTTAAATGACAGTTCTTGTGAAATAGCGTCATTTCTCGCGAAATAACGCTCTCGCTCACATCTTCTTACTGCACAGCACGCGATATTGCCTAGTAAATACGGTATACATTACCGAAAATTGATAAACATTAATAAAAAAAAATATGACAACAAACAAAGATTTTATTTCGTGTATGGGTCGGAAATAAAATAATATTAATTTCTCAAGTTACATATTTATTTTTTTATCGGGAGGTTCACACTTCATTTGGCGGGTCCGTAAAACGAAAAATCAAAAAAGTGTCGCCTAAATCCATGATATTAAAAGTTTTGTATTAAAAACTTTTGGGGCAAAACTTTATAAAAACCAAACAAATTCTAATGGTTTTCTGATAATTACTTCATGAGTTGTTGCTCTTAATCAGATTTTAGTAAAAATATGCGACAACTCTTGTTGACTGCCCGGACGATTTAGCTGCTGTAGGCCTATGTTTTGTTGCCTGGCAACCTATCTTTTTAGCTTGTTCTCTATCCATCTCTTGCAAAATGTGGGCGTATCTTGCCTGGCAACCGCTGGTTGATGAAAAAATTGACCAAAATCACTTCGACAAAATGGAATTTTTCAGAAAATCTATGTATTTTGAAGTTGCTGGGGAAATCGGAGTAATTGTTACAAAAATGTGAAAATTGAAGCATAATTAGCCTTAAAGTTGTATTACATGAATTTACATCTACATGTTTGATAATTTTACTATGAAATTAAATAGAGCATCACAAAATAAAACCCACCACAAATGACATTTTCAAAGATTTGAAAAATCTTTCCAAATTTTGAATCTGTAAAAAGTTTGGTAAGGAGAATGATGAGATCTACTTGAAAAGCTAATAAGATCAAATGTATAATCATAATCTCAAAACGTTTGTTACAGATAAATATCGTATACCAGTAAAAGCTTGGGGACAGAATTTATTTTTAAGCGATACTGATAGTGCTAGTGGTGGTAGTAATAAGTCGCATGATTCGTCACCATGTAATAGTCCCAGATCAGTACTACGACGTCAGTTAGCTTCTAGTCAATCATTAGAAGATCTCACAGAAGAAGATGGTTTCACAGGTAACAAAATATACATTGAAATATGGTCGTATATTGTCGTCGCCCCCATCCATCACTTGGCCGGCGTCCACAATTGCTTGTGGACGCTCTAGAGGCTAAAGTTAATATCCGATATTGACTTTATATTTATATCCAGTGTTTATGGCCATGAGACGAAGAAGACAATTGATTTTTAGTGATTTCTGATGAATTACTGCCAGAGTTACGGCCCTTGATCACTTCAAAAAATCTTGTGGACGCTCTTTAGGCTAAAGTTAATATCTGATTTACTTTAAATTTATACACATTGTTTAAGGTCATGAGACGAAGAAGCCTATTGATTTTCAGCGATTTCAGATAAATACTGTCAGAGTTATGGCCCTTGATCACTTTGAAAAATCTTGTGACACTCTAGAGGCTAAAGTTATCATCCGATTGACTTCAGATTGATACACAGAGTTTAAGATCTTGATACGAACAAGTAAATTTTTATGACTTGAACAGCTAAATCCATGATATTAAAAGTTTTGTATACTAAGTGTTAGCATGGGGCAGAATTTATAAAAAACAAATTCTAATGGTTTTCTGATAATTACTTAATGAGTTGTTACTCTTAATCAGATTTTAGTGTATTATAAATGTTTCATTACCGAAAAAAGTAAAAATATGCGACAACACTTTAGCTGCTGTGGGCGTATGTTTCGTTGCCTAGCAACCTATCTTTTACATAGTAAAATTTCCACGAGAAATCCATGCAATATTAGGCAGATGTTCGAAGGTGGGGGTCGGCCGATTGAGTTCATACTCACAGGGTTTGGTCGTCCCATCAAGCCTACTGCCCAGCTAAAATCGCCGAGTTCAGAAATCAACCGTTTCCGAGATTCAGACCGATTACGTTTTTCGGCTGATTTTTGCCTTTTTTAAGCCAAATTTTAGCTATTTTTGTTGCACTACTACCACTGTTGCATGACTCTGGCGAACTAGGTTTTAGTTGTTCGTGATAGTCGGGTTCTTACCCTATCACATTATCATGGTCATACAGACATCCATAATTTGATTTCATTGATACACTGCTCAATATTAGATTTGCTCAAAGCATGCTCATTCGCATTTAAAGGATTCAAACTTAAATACAACTGGGTATCATCAGCATAAATATGATAGTCAAGACCATGTCTTTTAACAATTTTACCAACTGGAGCAGTGTAAAGAGTCTGGAGATACCTGAAATGTACCCTATCTTCAGATCGCGATAACTCCACTGGAGTTTGTGTCGAGTGGACGTTAAACCCCATTTCTCTCTCTCTCCCTTCAACAAGCTTTGCCAAAATATTTAGTCTCGGTGTGGTTTGGTATCCAGTCTACAAATCCAAGATGGCGTCTCCCAGTGAATATGGATTTTCGCAAATTCTGGATCTAAAATGGCGATCCTGATTAATTAAACATTTTTTTTTTTTCTATGAAAAATGAGAAATTTCAATTCAAAATTTAGAAAAACAGTTGTGTTAGAGCAGATGAAAGTCGACAATTATGTAAAACAGACCCAATTTCCATGAAAATCGCCTATTTAGCCTTCACCGTGACCTTCAATCGCGAGTTCATCAGGGATACAATTTGAAGTTCACGCGTTGCTCATTGACAAACCATATCTCTTTCGAAAATATTGAAAAACAAATGAGTTGGGATTTCAAAAAATTTCTTGTCAGACATATTACTGAAAATAAAGGGGTATAACTCTTATTGTTATTTAAACAGACAGATTCATACCACAATTAAAAATCATGTGTCAACAAAATATTCAAATCCCATACGTAATGAAAATTGCTTCACCTCGATATTTTGGATATTTAATTCCCCTGTCTTCATTAACCCGTAATGGTTTCAAATTTATGTTATTAATATTCGTACAAAATTACATGTTTTCGTAATACATTGATTGAATGAAAGCTTGCCGATCCTGCTTCGGCTTCAAATCCACAACAGTTATATTCCATCAAAATTACGTATCTTCGTTTATACGACAGCAAATGAATGCAGAACTTCCGAAATAAGAATAGTTTGTGATGTCAAAACATTGTTTTCTTCTTATAAAATGTCAACAAAATATTCAAATTCGCACGTAATACAAATAGGAACACCTAGCTATTTTTGTACGCCCACATTCTTGTGTAGAAGTATATTGTCGTGGCCCCTCTCGGCCCGTCCGTCAACAATTTGTTTATGGCACTCTACAGGTTACAATTTTTTTTATCCATTTTCAACAAAACTTGAAATATATGTATGTCCCTAAGAACTATACTATAATAATAAATTATCATCTTCACAACCACGTGATTTATTTAAAATTGTTCAGTCACTTACATCCGATACAACCCGAGGGCTTCCATCATCAACTGATGAACTTGGGCTTTCTGAGAGGTTTTGTTCTTTTTTCCAAACTAAAATATCTGATATTAGGAAAGGACTAGATAGTCTGGTTGACTCCGATTCGGAGGTTGAGGAACCACTTCCATCGTTAGAGTGCAATCTAAATTTATTTGCTACTGTTTCTAAAGAACAGGTCAAGAAGATTATACTTAAGAGTAAATCTGCTACATGTAATTCTGATCCTCTTCCAACCTGGCTTCTGAAAGAGGAGAACGTGTTGGAGCTTCTGCTTTTAGGGTGACCCACCATAAATAAATAGCTCCATATATCTCGACAATTACGCCACAATATTTATATATATGCCAAGCCTCAAATCAGTTTCACACAATTATAGTCACTAAAAAAACGATCATGTTGTACTTAATAAGCTATGACCATTAATCGTGTATAAATAATAGACTGAAAACTGGTTCCAAGAGTCGTCCATAACATCCAGACACTTTTGAGTAAAAGATAGGTTACGTGCCCTTGTTTTGAAATTAGTCTCGCTTAACCAGCCTATCGACCATTCTACGTCTGATTGACAGGTCGGGATAATCAAGACTACTTTTTTACGAAACATAACAGAAAGCTAGAACAAGAAATTGAATTTAGAAATAAGCACGTTAGGTAGCTCAACAATCGTTTTAAGAAGCTTGTAAAAGTAAAATGAAACTACTGCTAGTATCATGTTCCTGTCTAACCCGAGTGATTCAGAGATATTATTTGTACTAAACCAAAAGATGCCGCTCTTAACGGTACAGTTAATGATAAAGCGATTTAAAAAATGAAACGAACGTAATTTCTAAATCTGCTGTAATAACCAAGAAGCTTAATTTCACTGCTATTCAAAATCGTCAACAATAAATTTTTTACGGCTGTAATAGTTGATAGATTTGTAGAGAATTGCACGTGCCATGGCTATTTATAGTATCATACTGTCAGAAAGTTGGTCTCGGCACGGCGAATGTGCACGCTTCAGTGGTAGTCTCGAACTATCAGCGGTGGACTGTATTTCTGTGAGTACATGGGTCACCCTACTGCTTTCAATCATTACTGGCATTGTTAATGATTCTATAACCACTAGTACTGTTCCTGTATGCTTAAAGTCAGCTCTGATTTCACCTTTATTCAAGAAACCAAACCTTGATCCTCAGCTGTGTAAGAATTACCGACCTGTTTCCAACTTACCATTCATCAGCAAGGTTATTGAAAGAGTTATTGCTTCTCAAACGATTTACACGAATCACTTCAATCTGCTTACAAACAAGGTCACAGCACAGAGACGGCTCTACTTAAAATTAAAAACGATATTGACCTGGCACTGGATAGGAATCTAGCCCTGTCATGGATAAAGTCATATCTTCAAGATAGAACACAGAAGGTGCAAATAAACCGGTCTGTGTCTCAACCCTGTGCTGTTAGGATAGGTGTTCCACAAGGATCTGTATTGGGACCTCTACTTTTTCTTCTATACATTCTTCATATTGGTCAAATCATAAGAAGACATGGAGTACAAAACCACGGCTTTGCTGATGACACCCAAATATATGACTATTTTCAATACAACAACTATCTTGCTTCCAAGGATTCTATCAGTAGACTAGAGTCTTGTGTAATGACATTCGAGAATGGATGACCAGAAATAGGCTAAAACTTAACGATGACAAATCCGAATTTCTTGTCATATCATCAAAATCACAATCCAGTACATTGTTTAAAGCGGATTACATTCAGATCGGTGATTGTTCTATATCTCCCAAGAAGTAGGCTAAAAATCTGGGCTATGTTACCGATAAATTTATGTCCCCAGTTCCACAAATAAATAGTATCATACGGAAAATGCATCATCAAATGAGAGCTATTTCGAGAATACGCTCTAATCTTAATACTGATGCTTGCCAGAGTGTTGTTAGAGCACTAGTAACATCCCACATGGACTATGCAAATTCTCTTCTATTAGGAGCACCAGAAACAGCTTTAAACAGACTACAAATAGCGCAAAAACAATGCTGCACGTCTCATAACTAAAACACGAAAATTTGATCATATATCAGCTAAGTTACAGAAACTCCATTGGCTTCCAGTTCGAGTGAGGGTTCAATTTAAAGCTCTTGTGAATGTGTTTAAATCAATTTATTCTGACACCGCACCAAGTTATTTAAAAGAACTCTTTGATTTCTATACTCCCCGGCGATCCAACCTTTGTTCTTCAAGTGATCGTAGCTTATTGAGGATCCCCAAATGTACTAAGCGTTCTGGTGAATATGCTTTCTCCGTCAGAGCAGCTAAAATGTGGAATGATCTTCCAAAAACTCTTCGAGAGTACTCTTCCATCCAGAGTTTTAAGACTAACTTAAAAACATACTTATTTCAAAAATGTTTTTGAACTGTTTTGTTGTGAATGCGCTTAGAAACACTCATGTGTAATGAAGCGCTACATAAATCGAACAATAATAATAATAATAATAATCTCAGTTCCTTTTGATATTGGCATTTATCGGACTGTAACTTCATGGACTATGGCCCCTGAATTTACAAAAAATCATGTTTTTAGCTTGTGGACACTGGAGGTCACAATTTTTATCTGATTTTGATGAAACTTAAAAGGTATGTTTATAACCCAAAGATATTGGTTCCTTTTGATATTCCCGCATATCGAATCTTAACTTCCTGGATTATGGCCCAACATTGTACAAAAAGTCGCGTTTTTAGCTTGTAGCCCCTTTAGAGGTCACAATTTGTATTCGATTTTAAAAAAAAGTTTTAATTTATCACTAATGTTGGCGGAGTTCGAATTTCGTGAAAATCGGACCGAAACTGCCAGACAAAATGGCCGCTCCTCCTGAAAATGACAATAATCAGCGGAAAAACATAATCGGGCTGTATCTCAGAAACGATTGATTTCTAAAATCTGCAATTTTGACTTCGGAGTAGGCTGGATGGGTTGACCAAACCCTGTAAATATGAACTCAATCGGCCGACCCCCACCTTCGAACATTCTTCATTCATGCGTCCGTCCGTCCATTGTCCACAATTTCTTGTGAACACTCTAAAGACTGCATTTATCATCTGATTGTTTTGTAATTGATATATGTTGTTTGCATTAGTGAGATGATGAAGCCTATTTAATTTCAATAACTTCCGTTAATTTCTTCTGGAGTTATGGCCCTTGTTTCACTTTGTTGCACCTTGTGAATGCATTATTGACAAAAGTTATCAACCGATCTGTATGAAATTTATATGCATCATTTAAATTAGTAAAACAAAGAAGCCTATTGAATTTCAGCAATTTCCGTTAATTACATCTAGAGTTATGGCCCTTGTTTCACTTTGTTGAATCTTGTGAACGCTCTAATGACAACAGTTATCATCCGATTTGTTTGAAATTGATATGCATTATTTAAATTAGTGAAATGAAGAAGCCTATTGAATTTGATCAATTTCCATTAATTACGCCGTGAGTTATGGCCCTTGTACCTTGTGAATTCTGTAACAACAAAAGTTATTATCCGATCTGTATGAAATTTATATGCATCATTTAAATTAGTAAAACAAAGAAGCCTATTGAATTTGAGCAATTTCCGTTAATTACATCTAGAGTTATGGCCCTTGTTGCACTTTGTTGAATCTTGTGAACGCTCTAATGACAACAGTTATCATCCGATCTGTTTGAAATTGATATGCATCATTTACATTAGTGAAACGAGAAATCCTATTGAATTTCAGCAATTTCCATTAATTACGCCGTGAGTTATGGCCCTTGTTTCACTTTGTCGTACCTTGTGAATGCTGTAACGACAAAATGAAATGAAATGAAATGGGGTTTAAAGTCCTACTGTTCTGCTCCTATACTGGGCTAATGAAGACGGGCGTATACGCCATACAGTGTGCTATGAGGTAAATTTTGCCCGCGCAGCGGCACTATCGCCTACTCTTATATCGAATTCCAACTGCCAAGGGATCTTTTATGTGCATTCCAATGCATACATGGGACCTCGATTTTTCATCTCATCTGAAGGACTAGACAGCTGTCCTTGTCAGGTCCTCCGTTCTGCATCACTGACAAGGGGAAACCACGTCGGAAAAATCCATATGAACTTTCTCAGCCAATGCAGGGATCAAACACCCGACCTCCAGGCTAGCGAGCCAGCGTCTTACCCACTTAGCCACCGTGGCTCCCCTGTAACGACAAAAGTTATTATCCGATCGGTATGAAATTTATATGCATCATTTAAATTAGTAAAACAAAGAAGCCTATTGAGTTTCAACAATTTCTGCAGAGCGCTCTAACGCCAAAAGTTATCTCCCAATCTTTGTGAAATTTATATGCATGATTTAAATTAGTGAAACGAAGAAGCCTATTTAATTTCAATAATATTTGTTCATTATGTCAAGAGTTATGGCCCTTGTTTCACTTTATTGAACCTTGTAAACTCTCTAACGCCAAACAAAAATTATCTTTCGATCTTTCTGAAATTTATATGCATTATTTAAATGAGTGAAACAAAGAACCTTATTGAATTTCAGCAATTTCTGTTTATTATGTCTAGAGTTATGGCCCTTGTTTCACTTTATTGAACCTTGTGAACACCCTAACATCAAAAGTTATCTGCCTGTCTGTATGAAATTTAAATGATACATTTAAATTAGTAAAGAGAAGAATCCTATTGAATTTCAGCAATTTCCGTTTTATTATTTCTAGAGTTATTGCCCTTGTTTCACTTTGTTCAACCTTGGTAATGCTCGATTGATGAAAGTTATCATCCAATATGTATGAAAATTAATTGCATCATTTCAATTTGTGAAACAGAGGTCTAATGAATTTCAGTAATTTCCGTCAATAATTTCTGGGCGTTATTTGATGAATCTTGATGGTATTTAATACTTTCTGCATGGCAATCTATTAACTGAATATGTGTATTAGATTATAGATGGTAAGCTCAGTTTCTTTCCTTTTTTCATCAAATCTGAATGATAACCGGTCCCTAGTGAGAGTTATGGCGGTTGTGAACATTGTGAATGTTTGAATGACAAACGTGATCATCTGATCTGTATGAAATTTATATGCATTATTTAAATTAGTAAAACGAAAAATTCTGTCAAATTTTAACAATTTCTGTAGATTACTTCCAGAGTTGAGACCCTTGTTTCAGTTTGTAGAACCTTGTGAACCCTCAAACGGCAAAAATTATAATCTGATCTGTATGGAACTGTCTTGTAAAGGCCACCAATTACCTACAAAGGAATAGATATGTGACAACCCTTGCCGACCGCTCGGATGATTTAGCTGCTGTGGGCGTATGTTTCGTTGCCTGGCAACCTATCTTTAGAACCTTGTGAACCCTCAAACGACGAAAAATTATAATGTCATCTGTATGAAATTGTCTTTTAAATTCCCCTAATTACCTACAAAAGAATAATTATTAGGGATGATGATTTTCCGCGATCGTGGAAAAGCCGCAGAAAATGCGGAATTCACATTGTCAAATGGATTCGCAGAAAATCACGGAATCGTCCGAAATTGAAATGACAGATTGTGTCTATTTTTATCGCCCAATAAAATATCCCCTTAATATCATTGTTATAAGTCGTCTATCCAGTTTGTGGAAACACAATACGTAACCGTTACGATTTTTCAACATTTTAATCACGATCATCTACTATAATATTTATTCCTGCTAAAAGCAAAGTTCTAGTGCCCCCTATATTACACGGAGTTACATCCCCCTGATTTGTTTTTAATTACAGGCTTTTTTTTTTGATAAAATAAAAATAATCTATTGATTTTCTTCACAAAATGGGATAGATATTATGGAATATTTAACAAAGGTAGGCACTAGTATTGATGCGGGTACTAAATGATGAATTTATAACGGAGATTTGAGGCAGGGAATGTTCGATCGATGACAGCGATCTTCGTAGTAGTTGTAAGTCTGTCAAATTTACCGATGTCGGTGATGTATCATCAATCATCGATGCATTGCAAGTATCGATGTTAGCTCCCGATGCATCGACGTGTAAAATATTATTTGGTTGGTATCAGCACTGACGAGTTAATGGCTGTTACGTCAACAAGTGACATGGTTGTGAATATTGAATGTTCGAAAGAAGAATCAACACAGAAATTATTCTGATAGGCCTACTACGTTTTTTACCGGTTAATAACATATGTCGAGGATACACACACAGTAATGAGCAGACATTAATTTCATTAAAATTTTTATGACAATAATTTTCAAATAGTGTGACTGAAATCATGCTTTGCATAATACTGTAAAATTCAACAGATAGATTTTACTTCAATCACAGTTTTCCAAAATTGTAGTCAATGGATATTCACACACTGCTAATCAAAACTGGACATTGCTAATCAATTTGCCTGAATTTAGCCTATCTAACTTGATTAGCAGTTCTGCTAATCAAGTTCGAAAAGTTATTGAGACCCCTGGTGAAGGATCATACTGAATCAAAGAAACATCGATCGGCCATAATGGATTCAGTGATAGGCCTACCCCCATGTGTTTCTGCTGTGAAATGGAATTGACTAAAATCTGAAATGGAATTTGCCCATATCTGAAGTGGAAAATCATCATCCCTAAATTATGCGACAACCCTTGTCGACTGCTCGGACGATTTAGCTGCTGTGGGCATATGTTTTGTTGCTTGGCAACCTATCTTATTTGAAGAAATAGACACACATTGTTTGTATGTAAAAAAGTAATGGGTATAATGTTATTTGTTAGGTAATGAATGTGATAGACAGCTAAAGAGAACAATGACAGTAGGTGATGAAGTTTTAGATGTACCTGGTATATTGAAGGTAAGTCATCTTTATTAATCTAAACAGTCATATTTATCAGATGTAAGAATCTGCAAATTAAACACAACTATCCGCTTTAATCAAACCTGTATTATGTCAACCGGAACTTTGTTATAAGTTTTTATTATACACTTACATTCGTTTACTAAAGTATGCCCTTCCCTGCCAAATGTAAACATTTCAGTCACCCTTAGGACTGTGTCTGCAAGGTTAATTTTGTGTTCCCATCAGTGATGGGATTTCAAGATTTTTCTTGTCGGATATTTTACCGAAAATAAAAGGGCATAACTCTTAACGTTATTTACGCAGACAGATGCATACCACAATTAAAAATCATGTGTCAACAAAATATTCAAATCCTGTACATAATAAAAATAAGTGAACCTCGCTATTTTTCATATTTGTTTCCCGTACTGTATTCAAATTTATGTCAGTAACATTCCTACACATTTTCGTAATGCATTGAATGAAAGCTTGCCGATCCTGCTTCGGCATCAAATTCACAACAGTAGGCCTAATATTCCTGCAAAATTACGTGTGGTTGTTTATACGGTAGCAAATGAATGCAGAACTTCCGGAATAAGAATCGTTTTCCTCTTCATAAAATGTCAACAAAATATTCAAATCCGTGCGTAATAAAGATGGCAACACCCCACTTTTTAAACGCCCACATTGAAATGTGGTCGTATATTGTCGTCGCCCCTGTCCGCCATCCGGCTCTAGAGGCTAAAGTTAATATCTGATTGACTTTAAATTTATACAAAGTGTAGGTCTTGAGACGAAAAAGTCTGTTGATTTTCAGCGATTACTGATAATTACTGCCAGGGTTATGGCCCTTGATCACTTTGAAAAATTTTGTGGACACTCTAGAGGCCAAAGTTAATATCCGATTGACCATAAATGTATACACAGTGTTTAAGGTCATGAGACGAAGAAGCCTATTGATTTTCAGCGATTTCCAATAATTACTGCCAGAGTTATGGCCCTTGATCCCTTCAAAAAATCTTGTGGACGCTCTAAAGGCCAAAGTTCATATCCTATTGACTTTAAATTTATACACAGTGTTTAAGGTCATGAGACGAAGAAGCCTATTGAATTTCAACGATTTCCGATAATTACTGTCAGAGTTATTGCCCTTGATCACTTCAAAAAATCTTATATCCGATTGACTTTCAATTTATACACAGTGTTTAAGGTCATGAGACGAAGAAGCCTATTGATTTTCAGCGATTTCCGATAATAACTGCCAGAGTTATGGCCCTTGATCACTTAAAAAAATCTTGTGGATGCTCTAGAGGCTAAAGTTAATATCCGATTGAGTTTAAATTTATACAAAGTGTTTGAGGTCATGAGACGAAGATTCCTATTGATTTTCAACGATTTCCAATAATTACTGCCAAAGTTATGGCCCTTGATCACTTTGCAAAATCTTGTGACGCTCTAAAGGCTAAAGTTATCATCCGATTGACTTCAGATTGATACACAGAGTTTAAGATCTTGAGTTGAACAAATATATTGATTTTCAATGAATTTTTATGACTTAGAACAGTTAAATCCATGATATTAAAAGCTTTGCATACAAAACGTTAGCATGGGGCAGAACTTTATAAAAACCAAACAAATTCTAATAGTTTTCTGATAATTACTTCGTGAGTTGTTGCTCTTAATCAGATTTGAGTGTATTATAGATGTTTTATTAACGAAAAAAGTAAAAATATGCGACAACCCTTGTTGACTGCCCGGACGATTTAGTTGCTGTGGGCGTATGTTTCGTTGCCTGGCAACCTATCTTTGTTTTACTTATTGAAATAAACTGTTTCAATTCCAACCAACTTTATCAGCTAATCCATTCGAGCACGAGAAACAGCTCGCCTCTCAACATCAAAGAGCAGAGCTAACTGTGTGTGCCCCTCAACATCAGAGAACAGTTCTGTGTGAAAATCGTGCACGAACCGACACAGAACCTGTGGTTTCTTAGTGCTGTGGAGTAAAATAATAAAGCTATTTCATACGATGGAAAACAAGCGGCTATATGAACAAGCGTCTCAATATTAGGTCATATATCAGTATTATTCTTTCAAAGACGAGCTAGTTACACAGAGTTTGATCGAATCTGAATAATGTTCGGCAATGGGCAATATCACCGTGGGTGGAAGCGGGCGCATGTCCCTATTTTCATCAGTGTTATTTGATATGTGAGTTATCATTTGTTATATATAGTGAGGAAATTACTTTTTCTCGGTAGTCCTATCTATGACCCAGACAAGAAACTAAATAACTATACATTTATATATTAAAACGCCAACGTGTAGTAAATATAGCAGTGACGAAAACTTACAGATTTTCATTAATTGTGCAATTTTACATTTATAAACTTGCTTTCGAAAAATCTGATAACAATGACGATTAGAATATATCGGATAATCAAATTGAGGTTGGTTATGATATCGGGAAATGACGATACTGCATGCGATCAATTTTAAGATACGTGCATTTATAGTTCAGATGGTACCATAATAATTTGTAAATAAATTAAACCCACAAAAAAGATCAAATATATAAATAACTGCAGTCCGACTATGGTACGATGTACAAAACACGTGGTATTCATCAAGACATGAAATATGTAAGAACGCATATACGTAACTACCCTGCGTATAAATCCATGTATAAAGACCTACGCTTAACAAAGACCGTTCTGTGTAAAACACACGGTCGAACAAGAAATAGTACAGTAAATTGGATTTAACACCTACACGTCAGATAAAGCCTGTTGGTCTTTGATAAAACACCTTTGGTGCAGTTATTACACGCTTTCGAGAAAACTCACCAAACAAACAATACACACCGTGTCAGTCGTTTTTAACCCGTTCGTTAATTAACACACCAGTACAGAAAATGCACCATCGCCGAGATTTTCACCCCTAGCGATAATTATATCACCTCTCACTCAATTTCTCACCCCTGTTAATTAACACACCATACCTACAGATTTTAGCCTCTTCGTATTAGATTTGTTGCGATAATTAGAATTTTACCGATAATCTTCAAAATTTACTAAAAAGTGAGAAATATATACTGTAAACGTACAAATCTCACTATTACTACTTCTCAGTGGATCTAATGACAACAGTTATCATCTGATCTGTATGAAATTGATATGCATCATTTAAATTAGCGAAATGAAGAAGCTTATTGAATTTCAGCAATTTCCGTTAATTTCTTCTTGAGTTATGGCCCTTGTTTCACTTAGTTGCACCTTGTGAACGCTCCAACGACAAAAGTTATCAACCGATCTGTATGAAATTTATATGCATTATTGTCCCCCGCCTTTCGAAGAAAGCAGGGGACTATTAAAATGGGTTCGTCCGTCTGTCTGTCCGTCTGTCTGTCCGTCACACTTTTTGGGACACAATAACTCTCTTCCTAATTGAGCTAGAATGTTCAAACTTGGTGTATGTGTTTATTAGGTCAATGCCTTGATGGAGTTCGAAGATGAACATTTTCCGCTCAGGGTAAGCAGAGATAAGCAATTTGATTGGTTGATGCTTTGGGACACGATAACTCTCTTCCTAATTGGGCTAGAATGTTCAAACTTGGTGTATGTGTTGATTAGGTCAATGCCTTGATGGAGTTCGAAGATGAGCATTTTCCGCTTAGGGTAAGCAGAGATAAGCAATTTGATTGGTTTCTGTCTGTCCGTCTGTCTGTCCGTCTGTCTGTCCGTCACACTTTTTTGGACACAATAACTCTCTTCCTAATTGAGCTAGAATGTTCAAACTTGGTGTATGTGTTTATTAGGTCAATGCCTTGATGGAGTTCGAAGATGAGCATTTTCCGCTTAAGGTAAGCAGAGATAAGCAATTTGATTGGTTGATGCTTTGGGACACGATAACTCTCTTCCTAATTGGGCTAGAATGTTCAAACTTGGTGTATGTGTTGATTAGGTCAATGCCTTGATGGAGTTCGAAGATGAGCATTTTCCGCTTAGGGTAAGCAGAGATAAGCAATTTGATTGGTTGATGCTTTGGGACACGATAACTTTAGTTCTAATTAAGTGAGATTGATGAAACTTGGTGTATAGTTTCATTACAGTAATACCTTGACTAAGTTTGATAATGAGCATTTTCTGCTCAGGGTAAGCAGAGCGATACGCAATTTGATTGGTCGAGAGTTATACAAACTTTTCCTTTTTATAAGCTTGTTTATATAGTTTATGCTTTAGTTCTTGAAGAAGCTTTCCAATGTATTACCCCTGTAATTCCTCCTCTTTTATCTGTACAATATTTTCGAAAAAAATGAAACGAAATCCACTTATGTATACATTTAGGTTACATTATAGCCTACATGTCCCGACTCAACTTGCCACATTACATGTCATAATATTATAACCAGGTATTGATAAAAGCATCAATTGAGCAATTCCAATACAATCCAATACAATGAATATAGGCAAGGTAAATAAACAAATAAATGGAAAAAACAAATTGAAAAAGAAACTATTATAAATTAATTAAATATGTAGTATGCAATAATGAATTGACATTTAATGACAGAAAGAAAACAGTGAACTTTGCACAACTTGCAGCAAGATGGAAAATAGACCCGTTGATACAACCAAACTCTAGATCTGTAGGCATAGAGCATGTTTTCCCCTTAATATGCTATAATTATTCCATCAAAAACATTGTATGCTTAGACTATAAGTAAAGATATACTGTTTGATTGTTCAATACTTTGTAAAAGATAATTTGTGATAAATTTATATGTGTCCTCTAATTATTTTCCTATTTCGCCGGGGGACATCAGCCTCACTGTTGGCTTGTTTAAATTAGTAAAACAAAGAAGCCTATTGAAGTTCAGCAATTTCCGTTAATTACATCTAGAGTTATGACCCTTGTTTCACTTTGTTATACGCCCACATTTTCATGTGGACGTATATTGTTGTCACCCCTGTCCGTGTGTCCCTGCGTCCGTGCGTCTCTCTGTCCACAATTGTT